ATACAATACAAACAAATAAATAGACATACTCTACTGTATAGTTTCTGAACCTTTTTTTCATCACCCTCTCTTCTGGGACTCCCCCAAACCCCCCCTTCCTACATCCCAATTTCCAAAATTATTTCAGCAAATTCTAAATGATTTTATCAAATATATTTTTCTTATTATTTTTTTTTCCTTCAACTTAATCTTATGTCGCTGTAATCTCCTTTTCTTTCTCCAAACCTCGACATTTTAACATTCCTCAATTTTATGATAGTTCTTTAGATAGATTTTAAATTTCTTCCAATCTTCTTCCACCGTCTCTTTCCCCTGTTCACGGATTCTGCCAGTCATCTCAGCCAATGTCATATAGTCTATAACCTTCATCTGCCACTCCTCCAAGGTGGGTAGTTCTTCTGTCTTCCAATACTTTGCGATGAGTATTCTTGCTGCTGTCGTAGCATACATAAAAAAAGTTCTGTCTTTCTTTGATACCAATTGGTCGGCAATGCCCAAGAGAAAGGCCTCTGGTTTCTTCAGGAAAGTACATTTAAGTACCTTTTTTAATTCATTATATATCATTTCCCAGAAAGCCTTAATCTTTGGGCACGTCCACCAAAGGTGATAAAAGGTACCTTCAGTTTCTTTACACTTCCAACACTTATTATCAGGCAAATGGTAAATTTTTGCAAGCTTGACTGGAGTCATGTACCACCTATAGATCATTTTCATAATATTTTCCTTTATGGCATTACATGCCGTAAATTTTATACCGGTGTTCCACAACCATTCCCAGTCAGCAAACATAATGTTATGACCAATGTCCTGTGCCCACTTAATCATAGCTGATTTAACTATTTCATCTTGTGTGTTCCATTTCAGCAGCAAATTATACATTCTTGACAAGTTCTTAGTATTGGGTTCTAACAGTTCAGTTTCTAATTTTGATTTCTCCACCTGGAAGCCAATTTTCCTGTCTTGTTTATACACCTCCATTATTTGATAATAATGGAGCCAATCTCGTACTTTGGGTTTCAATTTCTCATAGCTCTGTAGCTTCAACTTATCTCCATCTTGTTCCAAAATTTCCCGATACTTTAGCCATTCGGCTTCCATATTAAGCTTTTTCAACGCCGTAGCTTCCAAAGGTGACAACCATCTAGGGGTCTTACTTTCCACCAAATCTTTATATCTTATCCAAACGTTATATAATGCTTTCCTGACAATATGATTTTTAAAGGCCCTATGCATCTTAATTTTATCATACCATAAATATGCATGCCAACCAAATGTAATGTTAAAACCTTCTAAGTCCAAAATATCTGTATTCTCGAGGAGCATCCATTCTTTCAGCCAGCAAAAAGCTGCTGCTTCATAATACAGTTTTAAGTCCGGCAGGGCAAACCCCCCTCTTTCTTTTGCATCCGTCAGTATTTTGAATTTTATTCTGGGCTTTTTGCCCTGCCAGACAAATTTCGAAATATCCTTCTGCCACCTCTTGAAACAGTCTATCTTGTCTAGAATTTGTAATGTTTGGAACAAGAATAACATTCTAGGCAATACATTCATCTTAATAACTGCAATTCGGCCTAACATTGACAATTTCAAATTTGACCATATTTCTAGATCTTTTTTAATTTCCGACCAACATTTTTCATAATTGTCTTTATACAGGTTCAAATTCTTAGATGTCAAATAAACCCCTAGGTATTTCACCTTCTTTACCACTGTCAAACCTGTTTCATTCTGAAACTTCTCCCTCTCCATGGCTGTTAAATTTTTTTCCAAAACTTTAGTCTTTTGTTTATTCAATTTAAATCCAGCTACCTGGCCAAATTCTTGGATTAGTTCCAACACCCTTTTTGTACTAGTGTCTGGCTCTTGTAATGTAAGTACTAAATCATCTGCAAAGGCCCTTAGCTTATAATGTTTAGCTCCGACCTGTACACCTTTAACCTGCTGGTCATCTCTAATCATATTTAGCAACACCTCCAGAACAGAAATAAAAAGTAATGGGGAAATAGGGCACCCCTGTCGTGTCCCTTTTTCTATTTTAAATTCTTCAGTTATCACATTATTTACAATCAATTTGGCCTTTTGTTCAGTGTATATAGCACCCATACCATTCTCGAATCCTTGACCTACCCCCATCCCATGAAGATTCTTTTTCATAAAACTCCAAGAAATATTGTCAAAGGCTTTCTCCGCGTCTACAAAGATCAGAACTGCTTTGGTGTTTATATTCACCTCTAGTAATTCCAAAATGTCTATTATATTCCTCACATTGTCTGATAAATGCCTTTTTGGGAGAAAGCCTGCTTGGTCCTTATGAATCTTCTCCATCAACACTCTTTTCAATCTTTTTGCCAAAATGTCTGCAAAAATTTTGTAATCCACATTAAGTAATGATATTGGGCGGTAGTTCTTAAGTTGATTCTTTTCAGTCTCTGTCTTTGGTATAAGTGTAATGAACGCTTCTTTCCACGATTCTGGTGCCCTTTTCCCCTCTAAAATCTCATTACAGACTTCCTTTAATGGTTGTACCAACCACTCCTTCAAAGCTTTATAATATCCGGAAGTCAGTCCATCTGGTCCTGGAGATTTGCCCATTTGCATGTTTTGAATGGCACCCTCTATCTCTTGATCTGTTATTCTCTGATTTAGGTCCACCTTACTTTGATGAGAGATTTTTTGTAATCCATACTTTTTAAGAAATTCTTCTATATCCTCCTCCTTCTGTGGTCCTTGTGAATATAGTTTTTTAAAATAACTCAAAAAACAATTTCTTATCTCGTTAGGTTTAGATATATTCTTTCCATCTACTTCTAGGCTTGTAACTGTGTTTAATTTCTGTCTTTTCCTCAATTGCCAAGCAAGAAGTTTACCACATTTATCTGCAGATTCAAATGTCTTTTGTCTCATTTGTTTTATCTTCCATTCAATCTCTTGATTCATCAATTCCATATATTGTGTCTGATATAACTTAATCTCTCTCAAAATCTCCTGGGACTTTGGTTTTGATCTCAATTTCTTCTCTCCTTCTTTTTATCTTTTCCAAGATCTTGTCTTTCTTCTCATTTTGCTTTCTCTTTTTTACTGAATTTTGTTGAATTAGAAATCCTCGCATCACTGCTTTACTTGCGTCCCAGATCACTCTTTTTTCTACATCAGTTTTTAGATTTATTTCAAAATAGTCCTTTAAAGTTTTTTGGGCCTTTCTGTGGATCTCCTCATCTCGAAACAGGGTGTCATTCATCCTCCATCTGAATTGACCAGTTGTTGTAAGTTTCATTTCCATCTTCACAGCATTATGGTCGGAGCAGGTCTTTGGGCAGATTTCCACTTTTTTAATCTTTGGAGCCAACCCACTAGTAATCCAAATTTGATCGATTCTGGTCCAGGTCATCATTGCTTCAGAGAAAAGGTTCCTCTCTCTCGAGAGGATTCCTTGTTCTCCAAATATCAATCAAGTCCATATTTTCAGTTATTTCAAAGAAAGTCTTTGGTAGTCTCCCATCTCTGGTGATTACCTGTCTTTGTGCTTTGTCCATATTTGTAGATACCACTCCATTCATGTCTCCCATCATGATTAATTTGTAATCCAAATAGTCCAGCAATGTCTCATGCAACTTCTTAAAAAATTCTGACTTCCCTTCATTAGGTGCATAGATCCCTAGTATCAAAAATTTTTCACCTTGAATTTGCACTTCAATTGCCAAATACCTTCCTTGTTCATCTTTGAATATAAACTTTGGGGAAAGTTTTCTTTGCATAGATTACCACTCCTCTTTTCTTAACTTTATCCGATGAAATAAATTCTTGACCTAATCTCTTATTGACGAGTAGTTTCCTATGCAATCTTGTTATATGAGTTTCCTGTAAACAAATTAAGTCCAACTGCTCTTTTTTTCAATAAATGAAATATATTTTTCCTCTTTCGCGGAAGGTTAAGTCCGTTACAATTCCAACTTAGAAGTTGCAGGGCCATCCTGAAGCTATTTGCCTCCTGTTGCTCCGAGTAGTTGTTCTTCTTCTGTTGGTGATTTCAGTCCAAACGTCAAGTTTAAGATGTCTGTTGCGTCTTTCGATTCTGGTGTTATTTCCTCTCCGACTGTTCCTTTCAGAAGGTCTTCCCTATAGTGATTTAAAAATTGATCTCGATCTTCTACTGATCTTATCCTTATTTTCCTACCTTTGAATTTAAAAGATAGGCCTTGCGGGAATTCCCACCTGAAAGGTACTTCGTTCTTCTTCAGCAATCCGACCAGTTCTTTATAGTGTGTTCTTGCGTCTAGAATTTCCTTTGGAATATCTTTAAAAATCTCCACAAAAGAGTCTTCGATCTCAAGTGTTCTTTGAAAATGCAGGCTCAATATTTTATCTCTCTCCTCTCTTGATCCTAATGTTATTAGACAATCCCTTGGCTTCTTCCTGCCTTGTGCTCTTCCCAATCTAAAGGCAGTGACTATTTTAATTTCTTCTTTCTCTAACTCCTTTTGCCAAAAATCCGCAAATTCTTTAGAAAGGAAGTTCGCCAAGTTATCTCCTTCACTTTCAGGCACCGCTCGTAGTCTTAAATTTCTATCTCTTCTTTGCAGTTCAAGCATAGACAAGGCCAATGTATGATCTTCTAACTTTTTGCAAACTGGTACAATTTTTTCCTGTGTGGCATCCGCCGAGACTTTAGCCTCATCAGCAGAGACTTTGGCTTCTTCTGCGATTTTACGTATATTGGCAGAGTCCTCTAATATTTTATTAATAGATTCTGTATTAGATGTCACCCTTTTCCCTAATTCATTCACACTTTGTGTATTCTGATCAAGTTTAATTGAGAGTTCTGTCAATTTTCTACTATTTTCCACCCCCTGCTTTGTCAAAGATTCCAAAGACTCATTTATTTTAACCAAAGCTTGTGTTACAGGATCTGATGACATTATTGTTCTTGTCTGACCAGTTGCAGCTGGTGCCACTGGGATGCCTGGGACTGAAACTCTTCGCTGTGAGGATTTTACTTTGTATTGTCTCCCAGACCTGGTTGTTGTCTCTTCTGGTGCACCACTCATGCCTAGCCAAGGTCACTCTCACAGCTGTTAGTTGTTTTTCAAGGGAAATTTCCACTGCCTTAGTAGTTACAATCCAATTTGCAACAATTATCAAAGTGCCCTCTAGGGGAAAAAAGTTTCCAAAACTAAGCAAAATGTCTTACAGCCAAAAATTCCCCTGAGGTTCCCAATAGTCAATTGTAACAGTTCTTATATTTTCAAAGTTCAACAAACCTGTAATTTAGTATCTCTCCTGAGCTGAGTAGTTTAGAACAATGTAACAATCCAAGTGACAGTTCACTGACAGTTCTCTCTTTCCAGGTTCCTTTGCCCCGGCAGTCCGTTTCAGGGGTGTTTGACACAGTGGTGAAAAGTTTTTAAAGTCCTTTTCTGGCAGGTTCTAATCACAGTTTCCTCCCCCTTTTGCTCCTGCCTACCAAAAGGGGGGAAATTCACAGTTTATGTCTGGTTCTCTTAGCTCTTTGCGATCTCTCAATGGTTACAGCTTAATCCTTCTTTGCTTTATCCTTATGCAGTCCGGGAAAGGCTGACTTCCTTACTTTAAGCCAATCCCGTTTTCAGCCAAATTTCAAGAAGATAGTTGTAAATCCCAATTAGGTCTCAGTCTTACTCACGAGTTTTACTTTATAATCCAATTTTCAGGAAGGAATCGGCGCTCTCCGGCTATGGCGATGCGGCTTCGCTTCACAAGCTGGGTAGCGGCTCTCAGCACCGCTTCTCCCCGCTGCCGCCCGGAGCCTTTAAAAAGGCTCCCTTGCGATTTCGGGGGCGCGATGGTGCCCACCGAGCCTCCTTGTTCACAGGCTTCCGCGCCTGTAATTTTTGAGGGTCCTCGCTTCGCCGTAGCGACAGGACCCGAACTTGTAAAGCAGACCCCCTCCGGAGCTCGGAGGGAAATCCGCCATTAGCCGATGGCGCCGACCGGAAGTCCAAAAGGGCTATTGATTGCTACTAACCATGATGGCTATCCTCTGCCTCCATGGTCAGAGGCAGTAATGATTCTGAATACCAGTTTCAGGAACAATGACAAACCTAGACAGCATCTTAAAAAGCAGAGACTTCACCTTGCTGACCAAGGTCCATATAGTTAAAGCTATGGTTTTCCCAGTAGTGATGTATGGAAGTGAGAGCTGGACCATAAAGAAGGCTGATCGCCGAAGAATTGATGCTTTTGAATTATGGTTCTGGAGGAGACTCTTGAGAGTCCTATGGACTGCAAGAAGATCAAACCTCTCCATTCTGAAGGAAATCAGCCCTGAGTGCTCACTGGAAGGACAGATCGTGAAGCTGAGGCTCCAAGACTTTGGCCACTTCATGAGAAGAGAAGACTCCCTGGAAAAGACCCTGATGTTGGGAAAGATGGAGGGCACAAGGAGAAGGGGACGACAGAGGATGAGATGGTGGGACAGTGTTCTCGAAGCTACCAGCATGAGTTTGACCAAACTGCGGGAGGCAGTGAAGACAGGAGGGCCTGGCATGCTCTGGTCCATGGGGTCATGAAGAGTCGAACACAACTAAACAACTAAACAACAACAACAACCAGTTTCAGGAAACCAGGGGATGGGAGAGGGCTCTTGTGTTCAGATCCTGGGCTTCCCACAGGCGGAGGTGGAGCTAGTTGTGCATCTGGGGGTGGAGTGAGAATCCCAGGGGGTGGGACGACGATGTCACCCCCCCCAGGGATGACACCCGGGGCAGACCGCACCCACCGCACCCCCCTTCCTCCGCCAGTGCCCACAGGCATCTTGTTGGTCACTGTGAAAACAGGATTCCTCTGGATTAGATTCAGCAGACTATTCCTATGTTCTTCTGACACACAAACACACCCACCCCACACCCACCGTATCTGTGGGCTCCACACCTCTCCCAATTTCTTACTTTTTTCCCTATTTAATAGCCTAGACAAACACCCTCTGAAACATTCTAACTCCACACAGGAAAGTTGTGTGTGCGTCAAAAAACTCCAGCCGCCTCTCTCGGAAGACAAAAACAACATGGCAGGTCAAATCTGCATTATGATGACAATATATTACTGTGTGCAAACATTTCCTGAAGACGTGTCGCAGACTACAATCTGAAACAATGAGGTGGGAAGTTCCAAATAGCTTCTGATGAATGTAATGGCAGCGAAATTACTGTAGATAAGAAATCCGGAGAGCAGGGGCAGCCGTGACAAATGATGGAGGAGTCAAACGTGACATCCTTCAGACAACTTTGCTTTGGGAAAGACAATGAAAGTGAAGCGGTACAAGAATGAGAATTGCGGAGGCCAAGCAAAGCAATGCATGATAGATGAGCAGCAAAGTCAGCCTCTCCGGAGCCCCTCAGAGTGCTCTGCTGCCCCCCCACCCCCACCCCGACACACATGGAGAGACTCATGGGAAATACGAGCAAGTCACCCCAAGATCTGCTCGGCACCCCAAACTATTGCTGTGCTGGAATTTATTTCTTTTTTAAATAGTTTTTTTTTAGAAAAAGTTTTTTCTAATTTACATTTCAAGATAACCATTTAGACAACCTTAAATCAATGACTTCCTTTCTTCTCTTTCCGTGGTTCATTTTGCATACCATACACCCCTGCGTATTTTACATGAACTAAACCATCGAGTAATACATTGTTGGGGGACGTGGGTGGCACACTGTGGGTTAAACCACAGAGCCTAGGACTTGCCGATCAGAACGTCGGCGGTTCGAATCCCCGCGACGGGGTGAGCTCCCGTTGCTCGGTCCCTGCTCCTGCCAACCTAGCAGTTCAAAAGCACGTCAAAGTGCAAGTAGATAAATAGGTACTGCTCCGGCGGGAAGGTAAACGGCATTTCCGTGTGCTGCTCTGGTTCGCCAGAAGCGGCTTTATCATGCTGGACACATGACCCAAAAGCTGTCTGCGGACAAATGCCGGCTTCCTTGGCCTATAGAGTGAGATGAGCGCACAACCCCAGAGTTGGTCAAGACTGGACCTAATGGTCAAGGGTACCTTTACCTTTAATCCATTGTTACACCATCAAAACATATTTACACTGTTGAATTTATCTTAATGCTACCAGTGTACACAACTTTCACCCAAATAATCAGCAAATATTTTCCAGTCTTCTTTAAACGTATTTTCTTCTTGTTCTCTTATTCTATATGTTAAGTCTGCAAGTTGTACATATTCTATCAATTTAAGTTACCATTCTTCTTTGGTTGGGACCTCACTCGTTTTCCATTTGGGGCTAGCAAAACACCGGCCGCAGTAGTGGCAGACATAAATAATCTTTTTTGACATCTGGGAATTTCCATCTGAATTATCCCCAACGAATAGGACTCTGGGTTGTTGTTTTTTTGGAAAGGTACATTTAAACATTTTTTTTCAATTCATTATATATCATTTCCCAATACTCTATGCTGGAAATTTCTCCTGTGTTTACTTTTCCCGATCCATCTTCCATCAACTGATAAGGAAATTGATGGTCTGTATATTTTAGGGTGGGCAAAGTTTTCTTTCCAGCCCGAAGGCTGAATTCCTTTGTGCAGATCCTTAGGGTGGCCATATGCTAGTAGTAGGTGGGGCCAGAGGAAAAAGGGGTGGAGCTACGGTGGCCCTTGTACAGTAGACTCCATTCCAGGCACACAAGTGTCAGGGGTTTCTTTCTACACATACACAAACACTGACCGCTTCTCATCCTCTACCCAAGTAAACGTAATCTTAGTTCAAGAGACATAATTGTAGTTCAAGGACACGTTCCGGTCAGGTCAAAGCCCTACAGGGAGTGAGGATTGGGGCCTGGGAAGGGAAGCCGTGGCTTAGGGAGAGTTCAGAAGGCCAGATAACATACCCTCCAACACATCAAAGGCAAAAACCAGGACGTCACCTTCCCGGGATCTTCTCATTTTTTTCTTGCAGGAGGACGGCAGCCATTTTGGGCACTGTGATCTCGCGCAATTTCGCATCGCAATTCCTCTGCCAAAAGAGGGCTTTTTGGGGCATGATACCAAAAATCACAGATTTTGGAGTGCCGCACAAAATCACGCCCCTCCTCCCAAAAAGTGCTTTTTCAGGGGGGATCATGGCATGAAATTGTGCAAGGTCACAGTGCCCAAAATGGCCGCCGGCCTCTAGTGAGGAAAAAAAGAGGGTGGCCCATTTTTCTGGGACATTTGGGAGGGTGTGGGATAATGAGGCCTAGTG